GCGATGTGTGATGTTGTGAGTGCAATGTGTGATGTTGTGAGTGCGACGTGTGATGTTGTGAGTGCGATGTGTGATGTTGTGAGTGCAATGTGTGATGTTGTGAGTGCGACGTGTGATGTTGTGAGTGCGATGTGTGATGTTGTGAGTGCAATGTGTGATGTTGTGAGTGCGACGTGTGATGTTGTGAGTGCGATGTGTGATGTTGTGAGTGCAATGTGTGATGTTGTGAGTGCGACGTGTGATGTTGTGAGTGCGATGTGTGATGTTGTGAGTGTGATGTGTGATGTTGTGAGTGTGGCGTGTGCAATCATAAAGCGCGAGGCGATCCAATCCCCACAGCGAGCGACGCTGCTACATTTCTTTATTACCTTTCAGCTCTGAGGAAGCATGATGTTGCCTTCCTGGTGATGGTGAGGCCCACCAGGCCCATCGGAACGCGCTTCAGCCTGCAGGAGCCGTTTGTACCTCAGGCAGGCCTGTGGTGCGTGCGCGGCTGCGAGATAGAGGGAATGCTGGACGAGGAGGGGAAGCTGATAGAGGAAGGTGTGTGTGGAGGGAGGATTGGTTGCCACGAAGATGACATGAAGTAGTGCTGCTGCCATCGAATTATTCACGTCTCGTAGTTTACTTTACATGAATTTCATGAAATTTTAGTTTAATTTGGAAAAATTCAATTATTTTTTATTTCAATTAAAATTCAATTAATTTTGTATTCAAGATTTTTTTAATGAAATTTACAAATGTTGCAATTTGCCTGCCTGCCTGAGCGTGATGATCACGCATGCGTATTGCCTCCAAGTCGGTCAAGCACACCCAGTTTGTACCTGATGTTATATGTTTGCACATGTTTAGAACACTACCGCAGTACTGATTGGTTATGGCAGCTTGTCAATCAAGCTAGGTGGATAGGTCGATTCGCACGTGCATGCATTTACAAGTTATAATTGCTGAAATATTTGTGGTGTATACAGGAATCGGGCCGACGCCAGAACTTCCTGGCTACACCAGAACCTGGCGAGTGTGGCTCGACTGTAACCAGTATCAAATGGACATGGAAAAAGTTGCTCAGGGAGGAGAGGTGCTTCCTTATCCTCACTTTGACACATATCTTCGCGATGTCGCCAAACACTTTTTCATGCATGTAGTTCGATGTCGAATCATATCTATGATTAATGGATTTGCTAAGAATGTATCTTTAATATTCTAGTTATTAAAGGTAATATGTGGCTATTGGAAATTGAGAAAATCTATTCCTGCGCAGGCTGATGCAAATCGTCGTGAATTTAGCGTTGATGTAACTGCAAAGCTTGTGACACTGCGTTGATGTAACTGCAAAGCTTGTGACACTGCGTTGATGTACTGCAAAAGCTTGTGACACCGCGTTGATGTAACTGCAAAGCTTGTGACACTGTGTTAATGTAACTGCAAAGCTTGTGACACTGTGTTGATGTAAGTGCAAAGCTTGTGACACTGCTTGGGTGCGATGGTAAGCATCTGACGGTGTGAGTGCGTTATTATGCAAGGCTTACGTGAAGGCTTGTGAGCGGCATCCTAATGAGCGAAAATACGCGCGGCGGTTATCAACTGAGGCACCCTTAGATGTAACCGCTAATTGCAAAGCTTGTGACACTTACTGCTTAACAGCTTGAGCTGTTGAGTGCGATGTTACGCATCTGACGGTGTGATTACGTTTATTAGGCATCATTGAAAAGAGAAGTTGGGTGATTTCGGGGGGTGGGGCTCTGTACCTGATTCGGGTAGGAAGGCCTAAAGCAACCTGGAGGCGAGACTCGGAGGCGGAAGTCAACAAGAACGACAACAAGAAGAAGGGCTACACCTGAAGGGAAATGAAGTGGGAGGCGACCAACCGAGCGACACGGAGGGAGTTCACAAATGACCTGTGTCTCCCAGGAGACTAAAGGGGGGTTCTACTCTACGGTACCTGATAGTCGGTGTCATCAATATTGATCACGTAGGCAGATACGTGCTGCTGCGCGGGCAGAATCATGCAAGCACTGCTGGTCAGGAGGTAGACCACGCACAGAGAGAGAGTCCACATATCTGCTGCAGCTCCTGGAAGTGACAGAACTCAATGTCAGTGCTTGTAATAATAATAAGCAATTCATAATAATAATAGCAGAAGCAAGAAATAATCATAATATTTAATAATAAAAGAGCGACAGCGTGGGATCGGCGAAGTCATCTTCTCTCGAATCTTATGCTAAAAGTAATAAATAAAAGTATAAATAAATAATGAATAAATAAATATAATGAATAAATTTTATAATAAATAAGTATAGTAAAGCGAAAAGAATTCCTTCGCAGCCTGGTGGTGCATTGATATCGAGTAGTAACTGTCACCTAGCAGAGTCCCTGCGACAATGGAACTATGAGACTAAAACTCATAACTGTTGTCGTCACTAACATAGACTGTTGACGCTATAACATGTTGGCTATCTTTACAACCTCTCTTCCGGTAGGTTTTATCAGCATTCTGAGACACGAGTTTCAGAAGCATCTCAGAAATAAGAGCTAGAAGATATATCCGCAACTATTTCACGCACAACGACCACGTCAGTTTCGTTGTTGATCTGTTTCTAATTTACTAGATTGCATGGCTATATCTAATCATAACGAAGCAAAGAAGTGAATATGAACTCACGCGTACGCGAGCTTCTCTGTGTATTAAGTGTCTCTATTCTCAAATATAAAAAGTTCACAGCAAGTACTTAATCCTGCTCGTCCAATACCAGCCTCTAATGGAGTGGTAGATTATTATGCGCACGCGACATATTAACTCAATATATATTATATAATATAATTAATTATATCAACAATCATCAATCATTATCAAACGCCATATCGAGCTCCTTGCGTGGATTTGCGTCCAAGTCTTGTTACCGCCTGAGTCTCGTACGCTGATTGCTAATACGTTAACGCGCACAACACTAAACCAGGGCATGAAATTCAGATTTTGTTTGCACTGGCCCAGAGGGCTGGTAACAGCATTTTTTACCAGCCCTCACCATAATTTACAAGCCCTCACAAATTTTGGTTGTAAAATCAATGTCATGTTTCACGGCTGCATTCTTGATTTCAAATTGATAAAATGTTGATAAATTATGGCGTGATATCAGGTAAAACAGTAATGTAGGCTATTTGCTCATTAATGCTATAAATAAAAATGTAGGTGCCCGCTAACACGGAAACCCAATGTCACCGGCCCTCCAAATAATTTGCCGGCATATGCCGGTGGCCCGGTGCTAATTTCGCGCCTTGCTAAACCGAAGTCAACAACGAGAGGTTGGCACTTACCGATAACTGGAGAATGGCAACCAGGAAGAAGAAGTAGACTAGGATGTCAGAGTGGCCAACCCAGTGCTAGTGAAGTGCCCCGGTGAATATCGCTCTCGCATTTATAGGTGGCAGGAAAATGAAATTTGACCAAAAATACCCGAGGAGGCGCGTGTGCGTTTGTGTTGTCGGCAGCGGGATTAGTGCGTGATTCATTGAGCGCCCGCGTCACGCGACGTGCGTCGCCGCTATTTTCACGACGATGTCTAATCCGTAATTAGAACTTAATCGTATTAGCGGACGCGTTGTCGTGCACTGACCCCGCAGTGACTTCATATAGTGATTCGATGAGACCACGTGGAATATGCTACGTGTGTAATTCAATTAAACTTGATGTGCGTGGTTGTGCATGAGAAAGTTTCAACGCGGTGGCCTTATTTATTTTATTAAGTTGATGCGTGCACATGAGCTTGTTGAGAAATAAAAAAATTCCCGTGTGTCTATACGCGATAATACACATATTATACCAGGAGCCCATAATACTATAATAATAGTATAATAGGCTCTTAATTATATATGCATAGATATAGACAGGAGTAGGTAGCACAACCTGTTTACCAACCGCGGGGGAATTTCGCAGGAGTTGCTGTTGGTAGGAGAAAAAAATATCTCTTTTTCATATAGGTGACTATAGTTGTGTGGCTGCATCTATGTGACAGTTCACCTGTAGTGTTTCACTTTCGCCATCTTTCCATCGCACCTTTAGTGATTGTGAGTGTTATACAACACAGTAAATTTAACCAGCAGTGTATCATATGTGCAATGGTCTCTGTGTGGAAATAAAAGGAAAGTCCATTATAACGAGGGTCATAACAGTGATATTTTGTTATTGCATTGAACGTTCCATTTGCAATTGCATCGAGATGGCATAATTCTTTGCAATCGGAGTTATTTTTGGGCATTCTGTTGTTGATGTCGCTGAGGTTTTTGACCTGAACTGAGTTTCAATCCTGTATAGTGCACCCTGGTGGCATAAACTTTTGTTGAACCACTCATCCGGCCCACGCAAACTTCGAACGAAAGTTTATTAGATCCTTTGTGTTTTTGTGCACGGTGTGTTGCACCTTGATCTCACCTTCAGTCAGACAACTTCGATCACTATCATCCTGGATTAGAAGGTGTCAGATAATCGCTATTGTGTTGTTGACAATAGACCAATCACCACTGAAGTTTTTTATAACATATTTTGCCCTTCATATTTATCGCCAAGATCACATTGAATAAAAAACTTTACGAATAACCAGATTGTTTGACACCGCAGGAACTCCGGCATGTTCATATACTTCATTTAAAACTCGTCAGACTTTGAAAGCCAATGCGATGTTAGTAACAGGCCCGTGAGGACACGATGATGAACCAATCATCAATCAGTATCGCTGTTCATTATTATTCATGAACCAATCAGAATTTGCTGGCCTAATTCAACAGGAACCGTTATTGTTCGGAAAAGGCCAAAGTTTGTTATAGCTGAAAAAGAACGTATCTTTGGTTCTAGGTAATTGAAAAGAGTTGTGATGTAGTAATAATAGGCTACCACTTCTCATTTCAGACGAGATACGTCAGGATGTAGAAGACCAAGTACGAAGACTAAAGCCATGGTAAGATGAACTAGAGACCAAGGCCATAATAAAAATATTGTTTGTTTGCCCTCACCCGACCGACCCGCCAAAAAGGGGCCGACTCAAAAAATTTTATTGGTCTTTTCCGTTTTTTTTTTTTACAAATTTAATTTAATCAGTGTACGTTATATAAACCTGTAGGCGATACATTATATGTACCATGCAAAACAAACATTCAACATAAAAGGTATCTCGACACAAGCACACCCGAGCATGTAGACACCATGCTGAATTTGTAAAAAGACCCCCCCAAAAAAGAGAAAAAAGCCTACCTACCTACCCAAACTTTTCAGCCTGGGTCAGGTGAGGGCAAACAAATATGTTTTTAATTGTGGCCCAAACTTAAAGTTTCTATGCGTACACAATAGGTTACTTAAAGGGAGAGTTTACTCTAGGTTCATGGGTTATTTTCAGCTAATTTAGGTTATAATTACACTACATAAGAAGTTTCATGGTTCAATCACCGTTAGAAATATTTTTTTTAAATGTTTTAAAACTAACGACTACAGTTTGATTACAACGACGGTGGCGCCACTCAAATCGCACAATCTGATAAGTTGCGCAAAACCACTTTCCAGCCAAGGGCTACAGACCGAGGGTGTTTCTTATTTATTCATTTAAAAGCAAGGATTGTAATATCTTATAAAACGACATATAGTTTCAGTTATAATATGGATAAATTTGCCCTAAAATGAATATCGTTCGTTTTAAATAGGCATTTAGGTATAAATAAATATTGCACTTTTGTGATTAGCCCTCGTCTGTAACTTGCAAAATAAATGGTCAAATACGCAACTTTGTCGGGGTGGCAGCACGGTCGCGGGTGTCATGGCGCCGTTCAAATTTCTTAGCGTTGATGTGTAATTATTTATAACATTAAATTGGGTATCCTGGTAACAAATACGTGTGGGTATAGACCGATTTGTTATACAGTAAGTACAGTTGTATGCAGTAAAATCTAGAGGCTACTGTTCCTTTAAGAGAGTAAACGAACTGCCCCAAATGGTTACACCTGCCATAATGCAGTTTCATTGGCAGTCCTTGCAGTAGCCTCTCTGGTGTGAATTTCAATAATAGCTATTGATTGAGGTTAGCTTGTGGAATTTGCATTTCAGCTACATTATGTTATGTGCGTTGTGTGGTTTGGCAGGAAAGCTGAGATGAAAAGCTGCTATTTCGGCGGATGGGCAAGAATGGCTCAGCCCATTATCGGTTTCAGCGTCGTTGAGGTAGGCCAGTGTGCATTTCTTTTGCGCGTCATTTGCAGAGAACTGGTGCAAGGGCATTATTGTTAGGGCCTTGTTGTTGGTCACCGTAGTATTTGTCATGTATATGTATGTGTATGTAGTATGTGTATTTTACACTCCTGATAGTAGCTGGCACCATATAGAGCTGCAGTCGAAGGTGTGCGGTGGCACGCGAAAGATGCTAGCGGAAATACGAAAAAACACAATTACGCGTCATCCGTTCATTGCATCATCAAGTTTCCTATTGAATGATATGATGTTATCAGGAGTGAATAATAGAAAAATAGTAATAATAGTGAATAATATGTTATGCATCACATGACTATGCAATCTACTTTTCATGCTTATATACCTTCATTATACTCCCTAATTTGCCGTGCATTCGATGTAACAAAACGTTCGACACAAACACAACCGCCGTTCGAAAAATCTTGCGTGCGCCCAGACGCAGGAGATTCGTGACGTAAACACAATGTGTTATAATAACAATGCCGTCGCGCAAGCAATAGTGCCGCGCTCAGGCGGCACTATCGCTTCATAGTGCCTGCTGCGTTATCCAATGAGATTCAACGATTTATCACGTCATGCACTAATAGTGAATAATGTGAATAATAATCCCTATTATTCACTCCTGATTTATGATATTATGTTATTGATGTTATGCCTTCATTTGCACATTTTCACGTCTTTCGCGTCCATCTGTCTTTCAAGGTGCGAAGCCTAACATCGGTGAAAATCAGCCGTCCAGCGTGCGGGGACCGAGTCACGCTCACTCTCAACGTCAGAGCCGATGTGAAGAAAGAGTGGGAAGGTAACGAGTCTCCTTAGCAGCCTGTCGAGTAATTAAGGAAACTATAGTCGTGTACCCGACCATTTGTCAGCACCGCTCATCGGCTAACAACACGTTCCCTGCATTCGTGAAATTTATTCCGTCGTGGCGATGGAGAATGCCGTCCGACAAATTTCGTTGAGACCGATATTGTTTTTCTGACTCCGATATTGTTTTTCCGAATCTGATATTATTTTCCTAATCCGATATTGTTTTCGTAAATAGCAGGTAGGCTGTCTACTCAGTCAATACAGTAGTTTTACCCAGAAGTGTTTACCATATATCGGCTGCTTTAACCGACCCATGCACGAGGCGTTTTAGGTGACAGTCTCACTGAGTTAAGTTTGTGCCGTAAGCTGTCGATCCAACAGATTCTTGTTGCGTACGTGAGCTTGTGAGTGCGGATTGTGTGATGTTGTGCGTGCGATGTGTGATGTTGTGATGTTGTGAGTGCGATGTGTGATGTTTGTGAGTGCGATGTGTGATGTTGTGAGTGTGATGTGTGATGTTGTGAGTGTGGCGTGTGCAATCATAAAGCGCGAGGCGATCCAATCCCCACAGCGAGCGACGCTGCTACATTTCTTTATTACCTTTCAGCTCTGAGGAAGCATGATGTTGCCTTCCTGTGTATGGTGAGGCCCACCAGGCCATCGAACGCGCTTCAGCCTGCAGGAGCCGTTTGTACCTCAGGCAGGCCTGTGGTGGCGTGCGCGGCTGCGAGATAGAGGGAATGCTGGACGAGGAGGGGAAGCTGATAGAGGAAGGTGTGTGTGGGGAGGATTGGTTGCCACGAAGACGACAATGAAGTAGTGCTGCTGCCATCGAATTATTCACGTCTCGTAGTTTACTTTACATGAATTTCATGAAATTTTAGTTTAATTTGGAAAAAATTCAATTATTTTTTATTTCAATTAAAATTCAATTAATTTTGTATTCAAGATTTTTTTAATGAAATTTACAAATGTTGCAATTTGCCTGCCTGCCTGAGCGTGATGATCACGCATGCGTATTGCCTCCAAGTCGGTCAAGCACACCCAGTTTGTACCTGATGTTATATGTTTGCACATGTTTAGAACACTACTGCAGTACTGATTGGTTATGGCAGCTTGTCAATCAAGCTAGGTGGATAGGTCGATTCGCACGTGCATGCATTTACAGTAGTTATAATTGCTGAATATTTGTGGTGTATACAGGAATCGGCCGACGCCAGAACTTCCTGGCTACACCAGAACCTGGCGCAGTGGGCTCGACTGTAACCAGTTATCAAATGGACATGGAAAAAGTTGCTCAGGGAGGAGAGGTGCTTCCTTATCCTCACTTTGACACATATCTTTGCGATGTCCGCCAAACACTTTTTCATGCATGTAGTTCGTGTCGAATCATATCTATGATTAATGGATTTGCTAAGAATGTATCTTTAATATTCAGTTATTAAAGGTAATATGTGGCTATTGGAAATTGAGAAAATCTATTCCTGCGCAGGCTGATGCAAATCGTCGTGAATTTTTTATGTGCCCTCACACACATATATATATATATATATTTATATATTTTATATATATTTATATATTTTATATATATTTTATATATATATTTATATATTTTGTATATATTTAATATATATATATTATTTTATTTTTCTAAATATTTTTTTTTTACCGCAGGATGTATACGAGTCTTTCAATATCCTCATGAGGCGGAAACCCAAGGAGAACAACTTCAAAGCGGTGCTGGAGACTATCAGAGATCTAATGAACACGGAGTGTGTAGTGCCGGACTGGCTGCACGACATCATTCTTGGCTACGGAGACCCAGCCTCTGCCCACTACTCCAAGTATGTGCTGGATCTAGAGGCTTGTGAATAACGCCATACGTGTATAATTAATTATTAATTACTACTAGTAACCACTTTGTGATCATTCCCCATGTTGCCTTGTTCCGGGAAGTGCCTCCTATTCAGAAGCCGAGTGTAATTGTAGTTTGTTTTGTGTATTTCAAATTGTTCATAAAATATTCATATATTACATTGTTCAAATTGTGATTGTAATCTTAGTATTGTATATAGATCTGTGTAATGTCCTGGTGCTATCTAATCAAGCACGTTGAGCCATCCTGGAAAATGTCACCATTTCAATTAATGAAGTATTGATCTATTGTGTCTGCTGAATGGTACAGGATGCTGAATCAAATGGTGATTCTTGTGTATATAGTACGGTATGTGTCCAATGCTATATATATGTGTGTGTGTGTGTGTGTGTGTGTGTGTGTGGTTGTGTGTGTGTGTGTGCGTGCGTGCGTGCGTGCGTGCGTGCGTGCGTGCGTGCGTGCGTGCGTGCGTGCGTGCGTGCATGCGTGTCTGTCTGTGCCTGTGTGTCATTGTGTGTGTGTGTGTGTGTGCGAGCATGCGTGCGCAGTTTTGGTGCTATTTTTAGATGGCCATATCAATTAATTGGGGACTGGTCTGTACACTGGTGGATTTTACAGGATGCCGAATCAAGTAGCGACACTGGACTGGAATGACACGTTTCTCAACTTGGAACACCTCAGATCAAGTTTTCCTGAGCACAAAGTCATTACCAAGTGTGAAAGTGACCAGAAATTGAATCCGCCATTCAGGTAAACATCCATCGAATTTTATAGTAATGTTTTGAGATTAATTTTAAGATTTAGGATAAAAGATTTTTAATAAAAATTTTTTTTTTAAGATAACATGATTAAATATTTTAGCGCTCTGTAGTTGTTTCCGCGATACAAATCGTAACCTGGAAAAGGGTCACGCACCCCTTTCCCTTTCGTAAGTAAAATACTTAATAAAATCCATCTGTGTATGAAAGAATGCTTCATCTATTTACTAAAAGCTGCATCAATGCTAACCAACTAACATCTATTTTATAGCTAAGATATATAACAGGCTGTTGAATCCGGGTTTTTTGTCTTGCCACGCGATCCCATCAGTCTAATCTAACCATCCTACAGAAATGTTAACACTCGTTGCAGTTTCACGTGATATCCCAGGAAAATAAAAAAATAATGGGAAAACTCATAAAAACTAGAAACGCATTGCCTATTAAAGTAAATTAGTATTACCCCCCCCCCCTCGTCTTTGCTTACTAACTGCACTATTTTATCTAGGTTGACCTTCACGGAGGTTGAAACCGACAAGAAACGGCAGGTTGACTCGGACTCCGGCAAGCCGGCCAGCAGGGAAATCGTTGTCGAATCTCACGTCATACCCAATCGGGGGCCGTACGCTTACAGCCAGCCGAAAAAAAACACGGTGGCCTTCACTCCCACGCAAGTTGAAGCCATTAGATCTGGCATGCAGCCTGGCCTGACTATGGTACGCCATCTTGTTCGTTTCGATGAAGTGGTAAATTTGGTTATTAGCGTTCGTGATGATGTGATTTTTTATTGTTTAATTAGATTTAAATTGTTTATGTGCAGTGTTTCTTTGTGATGGCGCCGTTGCCTTTTTCACATTCTCTTTCATTTTACGTATACACACTCACTTTTACAGTAAAATCGTTGACTTTCTCTAACGAGTCGTATTGTGACAAAATTGGACAGCTAGGCTTGCTGAAGGGAAAAACATGATGTTTGGAATGGTGTTAGAATAGAGCTGATTGGTTTGGTTGGGAGCTAAATAATTGATGTGTTTCTGGTTGCTGCGTGCAGGTGGTTGGTCCGCCGGGAACAGGCAAGACAGATGTTGCCGTTCAGATCATCTCCAACATCTATCATAACTTCCCCGAGCAAAGAACACTCATCGTGACACATTCCAACCAGGTACAGCACATGTCCTATTGCTACATGCTATGGCGTCCCCATATGCGTATACATGCTTCTTCTGTGCTATAGTTTCTCTTACAGTTTTTTATAGTGTAGTGTAGTCTTGTTTGTGTAGTTTGGTTGCTCGCTGATTTTCCTTTGCTCTGCTATTAGTCTGGTATATCATGATGTGTTTGTCTGCGTGTAGGTGCAATAGTAGTGAAATACAGTAACGTGTGCGTATTTTACTACATGTAAAATACGAACTAGTACACGTAAATCAATAAAATAATGCAAAAATTGTAATCAACTTAATAAAATAATAATATAATTGTAATCGAATTAATAAAATCATAACAAAATATCTGCAGGCGCTCAACCAGCTGTTTGAGAAGATCATGGCGCTGGACATCGATGAGCGACACCTGCTGCGTCTCGGCCACGGCGAGGAGTCGCTCGAGACAGAGAAGGACTTCAGCCGATACGGACGAGTCAACTTTGTCCTCGCCAAGCGTCTCGAGCTTCTCGCCGAGGTCGCCCGCCTCCAGGAGAGCCTCGGCGTGCCTGGCGACGTCTCGTACACCTGCGAGACGGCGGGTCACTTCTACCTGTACCAGGTGTGTGTGGTTGCTACCTGTACCAGGTGTGTGCAGGGTGTGGTTGCTACCTGTAGCAGCTAAGTGCAGGGTGTGGTTGCTACCTGTAGCAGCTAAGTGCAGGGTGTGGTTGCTACCTGTACCAGCTAAGTGCAGGGTGTGGTTGCTACCTGTACCAGATACAGTTGTATGCAGTAAAATCCTAGAGGCTACTGTTCCTTTAAGAGAGTAAACGAACTGCCCAATATGGTTACACCTGCCATAATGCAGTTTCATTGGCAGTCCTTGCAGTAGCCTCTCTGGTGTGAATTTCAATAATACCTATTGATCGAGGTTAGCTTGTGGAATTTGCATTTCAGCTACATTATGTTATGTGCGTTGTGTGTTTTGCAGGAAAGCTGAAGATGAAAGCTGCTATTTCGGCGGATGGGCAAGAATGGCTCAGCCCATTATCGGTTTCAGCGTCGTTGAGGTAGGCCCAGTGTGCATTTCTTTTGCCGGTCATTTGCAGAGAACTGGTGCAAGTGTTGGTCACCGTAGTATTTGTCATTGTATATGTATGTGTATGTAGGTATGTGTATTTTACACTCCTGATAGTAGCTGGTCACCATATAGACATAGAGCTGCAGTCGAAGGTGTGCGGTGGCACCGAAAGATGCTAGCAAAATACGAAAAAACACAATTACGCGTCATCCGTTCATCAAGTTTCCTATTGAATGATATGATGTTATCAGGAGTGAATAATAGAAAATAGTAATAATAGTGAATAATATGTTATGCATCACATGACTATGCAATCTACTTTTCATGCTTATATACCTTCATTATACTCCCTAATTTGCCGGTGCATTCGATGTAACAAAACGTTCGACACAAACACAACCGCCGTTCGAAAATCTTGCGTGGCGCCCAGACGCAGGAAATTCGTGACGTAAACACAATGCGTTATAATAACAATGCGTCGCGCAAGCAATAGTGCCTGCTCAGGCGGGCACTATCGCTTCATAGTGCCTGCTGCGTTATCCAATGAGATTTCAACGATTTATCACGTCATGCACTAATAGTGAATAATAGTGAATAATAATCCCTATTATTCACTCCTGATGTTATGATATTATGTTATTGATGTTATGCCTTCATTTGCACATTTTCACGTCTTTCGCGTCGTCTGTCTTTCAAGGTCGCGAAGCCTAACATCGGTGAAAATCAGCCGTCCAGCGTGCGGGCCGACGTCACGCTCACTCTCAACGTCAGAGCCGACGTGAAGAAAGAGTGGGAAGGTAACGAGTCTCCTTAGCAGCTGTCGAGTAATTAAGGAAACTATAGTCGTGTACCCGACCATTTCGTCAGCACCGCTCATCGGCTAACAACACGTTCCCTGCATTCGTGAAATTTATTCCGTCGTGGCGATGGAGAAATGCGTCCGACAAATGTCGTTGAGACCGATATTGTTTTTCTGACTCCGATATTGTTTTTCCGAATCTGATATTATTTTTCGAATCCGATATTGTTTTTCGTAATATGCAGGTAGGCTGTCTACTCAGTCAATACAGTAGTTTTACCAGAAGTGTTTACCGTATATCGGCTGCTTTAACCGACCCATGCACGAGCGGTTTTGCTGTGACAGTCTCACTGAGTTAAGTTTGTGCCGTAAGCTGTCGATCCAACAGATTCTTGTTGCGTACGTGAGCTTGTGAGTGCGATGTGTGATGTTGTGCGTGCGATGTGTGATGTTGTGAGTGCGATGTGTGATGTTGTGCAGTGCGATGCTGTGTTTTCTGGTCAGTATGTTTATGTTGTTGAGATGCATGTGTTATATGTTCAGTGAGGCGATCGAGCTTTTTCTGCATGTGTATGTGCGTTATGTGTATTGTTGGTGTTAGATTCGTCTAGTGTGTGTATGTGTGATGGGCGTGTGCATACATAAAGCGCACGGCGATCCAATCCCACAGCGAGCGACGGCTGTCATTCTTTATTACCTCTTCAGCTCTGCGAAGCATGATGTTGCTGCTTCCTGGTGATGTGAGGCCAGCCGCAGCATCGAACGCGCTCTAGCCTGCAGGAGCGTTGTACTCAGCAGGCCTGTGCGTGCAGTCGCGGCGCAGATGTAGATGGAATGTCGAGTGGAGAGCTGGATGAGCGAAGGTGGTGTGCAGGGGGATTGAGTTGAACACAATAGACACATGAAATAGTGCTGATTGCTATCCGAATTTTCACGTCTCGTATGTTTACCTTTCATGGAATTTCATGAAATTAGTAATTCTTGGAAAATCAATTATTTTTTATCTTCAATTAAATTCAATTAATCTTGTATCAGATTTTTCTTTAAATGAATATTTAAATCTTGCACATTTGCCTGCGATGCTTCTGTCGAGCGTGCACATGGATCAGATTCAACGCATTGCGGTATTGCCTCCAATCCTGGTCAAGCACCAGTTGCTGTATACCTATGTCTATATGTTTTGCACAATGTTTTTAGACACCCTACCGTAGCATACTGATTGGTTATGGCCAGCTTGTCATCAGCTATGTGTGTGTAGCGTCTAATTTCGCAAGTCTATGCATTACAAGTTATAATTGTCTGAAACTATTTGTGGGTGTTACAGGAATCGGTGCGACACCAGAACTGCGCCCTGCTACCCCAGAACTTGCATTCGGTTGGAGTTGTGGCCTCGACTGATAACAGTATACAGCATGTACATGAGAAAGTGTTCTCTTAGGAGGAGATGGTGCTTTCCTCTTCCTAACTTTGACACATATACTTCGCTTGATGTTCTCCAACACACTTTTTCAGATGTAGTTTCTGATGGGTCGAATCATATCTATGATTAAATCGGATTTATAAGTAATGTATCATTCAATTTCCAGTTATTAAGGGTAATATGTGTCTATTGGAAATGACGAAAATATTCTGCCAGGCTTTGCATCTCGTGTGGTGAATTTTTATGCGCCCGCACCCACAGCATATATATATTACTTATATATTAATTATATATTTATATATTTTATATATATTTGTTATATATATTTATATATTTAATTATATCATTGCAAATCATATATATATTATTTTTATTTTTCTAAATATTGTTGTTTACTGCAGGATGTTACGAGTCCTTTCAGATATCCTCATTGAGGCGGAAACCAAAGAGCAACAACTTGCAAACGTCGGTGCTGGAGGCACCTATCAACTAGTATAACGGTAAGTGTGTATTGCCGGCACTTGGCTGCAGCGGATCATCCAATTCTTGGCTCGCAAGACCCAGCCTCTTGCCCAATTACTCACAGATATGTGATGGATCAGAGACCTTGTGAATAACTCCATAGTGATAATTAATTATTAATTTACTAGGTAACACTTAATGTGATCGTCCCCCATGTTGCTCCACTGCTTCCGGATATGCTCCTATTCAGAAGGCGCGGTGTAATTGTAGTTTGTTTTGTGTATTTCATTGGTTCAAAAATATCATGTTATTATCATCAATTGTTCAAATGTGAATTGTAAATGGCTTACGTTATTGTAATAGATCTGTGTAATGTCCTGCGTGCTATCTAATCAGCACGTTGAGCATCCTGGAAAATTCTCCATTTTCAATTAATGAAGTATTGATCTATTGTGTCTTGTGAATTATCAGGATGCTGAATCAAATGGATTCTTGGTTGTATATTAGTACAGCGTATGTGTTCATTCTATATAGGTGTGTGTGGTGCGTAGTGCGTGCAGTGCGTGCATGCGTAGGCTGCTCTGCTGCCTGTGTGGTGGTGTTTGTGTTTGTCGCTCAGCATTGCTGTGCCGCAGTTTTTGTGCTATTTTTAGCAGAGGCCATATCAATTAATTGGGGACTGGTCTGTACACTGTGCTGGATTTTACAGTATGCCGAATCATAGTAGCGCACTGACTGTATGACACGTTTCTAACTTGGAAACTCAGATCAAGTTTTCCTGAGGCACAAAAGTCATTACCAAGTGTGAATGACCAAATTGAATCCCGCCATTCAGGTACCAATCCATCGAAATTTTATAGTAATGTTTTGAGATTAATTTTAATGATTTAGAGTAAAAGCATTTTTAATAAATTTTTTTTACCAGGATACATTCATTAACATTTTAGCGTGCTCTGTATTTTTCGCGGATACAAATCCGTAACTGCGAAAAGGTCACTCACCCCTTTCCTTTTCGTAAGTAAATACTAATAAAAACGTATCGTGTATGAAAATGCTACATCTATTACTAAAAGGTGCATCAATGCTAACCAACTAAATCTATTTATAGCTAAGATCAGAATATATAACATGCTGTTGAATCCCAGGGGGTTTTTGTCTTGAACGATCCATCGAGTCAATTACTCTCTACAGAATTGTTAACCACTCGTGCAGTTTCACTGTGAGGTATCCAGAAAAAACTAAAAAAAAATGCGCGAACTTCTAAAAACTAGAAACGCAAATGCCATTAAAGTAAAATTAAGTAGTACACCCCCCCCCTCGTCTTTGGTTACTAACTGCCATATTTATCTAGAGGTGACCTGTCACGAGATGTTGAAACCGACAACGAAACGGCAGGTTTGATCTCGATCGGCCCCAAGCCGCAGCAGGCGAAACTCGTTGTCGAATCTCACGCATACCCATCGGGGACCGTTACGCTTACAAGCCAGCAGAAAAAAAACACCGGTGGCCTTCACTCCCACGCAAGTTAAGCCTTAGATCTTCATGAGCTGGTCCTGACTATGTACGCTTTGTTCGTTTCGAATGATATGGTAAATTGGTTTAGCGTCCCCCTTCTGCATTGTGATGTTATTTTTTGTTTGATTAGATTTAAATTGTTCATGTGCCAGTGTTTCTTTATGATGGCGCAGTGCGTTTTCACATCGTTTTCATTTTACTTATACACAATGCACTTTTACAGTAAAATCGTTGACTTGTCCTAAACGATACCGTATTGTGACAAATTGGACGCTAGGCTTGCTGAAGGCGGAAAAACATGATGTTGAATGGCTGTTATAATAGAGCTTATTGTTTGTTGAGTTTAATAAATTGATTGTTTGTTTGCTGCGTGCAGGTGTTGTCGCGGAAGGCAAGCCAGATGTTGCGTTCAGATCTCTCAACATCTATCATAACTTTCCCGGCAAAGAACATCATCGTTGACACATTCCAACAGGTACAGACATGTTCTTATTTGCCTACATTCTATGGCGTCCCATATGCGTATTATACATGCTTCTTCTGCCTCTAGTTTCTCTTTACAGTTTTTTATAAGTGTAGGTATCTGTTCTTTGTATAAGTTTGTTCCTTGCTCGCTGATTTCTTTTGCCTTGTTAGTTTAGTCTTGTATATCATGAGTGTGTAGTCTGCGTTGTAGGTGCAATAGTAAGTTGAAGTACAGTAAGTGTGCGTATTTTACTACATGTAAAATACAACTAGTACACTTAAATCATAAATATACAAAAATTTGTAATCATACTTAATAACATAATATATAAGTAGTAATCAGTTTAATTTAATCAATAATAATAATAAAATTGTAATTAATTAATAAAATCATAAACAAACATATCGCACGCGCTAACGCTGTTTGGAGAAGATTAGCTATGGCGCTGGCACATCGCAATGAGCGACACCTGCTCCTGTCTCGCCACGCGAAGGGTCGCTCGAGAAGAGATGATTCAGCGATACGGACGAGTCCAACTTCTGTCCTCGCCAGCGTCTCGAGCTTCTCGCGACTGATCCCCGGCTCCAGGAGAGCTCGTCGGCGTGCTGGCGACGTTCTCGTTCACGGCGACGACGGGCCGTAGGTCATTCTCCCTGTACCAGGTGTTGTGGTTGCTACCTGACAGTTCGTGTGCACGTTATGTGTTGCTACTGTTGCAAGCTAAGTGTCAGTTGGTGGTTGCTACCTGTAGCAGCTAAGTGCAGGGTGGTGGTTTGCTCCTGTACTCAGCTAATGCTGCAGGGTGTGGTTCTACTTTACCAGTGATTGTCAGGTTGTGTTGTCACCTTGCCTACCAACTAAGTGCAGGGTGTGGGTTGCTACCCTGTACAATAGTGCAGCGGTGTGGTTGTCTCTTGTCGTTTTTATCCAGCTAAGTGCAGGGCTGTGGTTGCTACGCTACCAGGTGAGTTCAGGTTGGTTGTTACCTGTATACGGTGAGTTGCAGGTTGTTGCTCTGTACTCACGGGGAGTGCAGGGTTGTTGGTGTACCTGTACCAGTATAAGTGCAGGGCAGTGTGGTTTGCGTACCTGTATCCAGATGGCGTAGCAGGGGGGTGCTACGATGTCAGATTGAGTGCTGTGTGTGGTTGCACCATGATACCAGCTAAGTGAGGGTGTGTTGGATACCTGGTACCAGCTAAGTGTAGGGTGTGGTTGTGACTGTACAGTGTGATGCAGCGGTTGGTTAGCTACTGTACCAGATGAGTGCAGTGTGTGGTTCTATGGGATGTACCACGGGTGGTGGAGGCATGCGGTGATGGTTGCTACCTTGTACCAGCCCTAAGTGCAGCGGTGTTGGTTGCTCCTAAGCTACAGTATGAGTGCAGGTGTGTGTTGGCTACCTGTACAGGATGACTGCAGGGTGTGGTGCTACTGTGTACCAGGTTGAGTGCGCAGGGTGATGGTTGCTACCGTGTACCAGATAGTGCAGGGGGCTGTGGTTGCGTACCGTACAAGCTAAAGTGTTAGGGTGTGGTTGTTCCTTTACCAGGTGAGTGCAGGGTGTGGTTGCACCTGTTACCACTAGTGCAGGGTCTGTGTTGCTACCGTCTACCAGCTAAGTTCAGTGTGTCGGTTGCTACCTGTACCAGCTAAGTGCAGGGTGTGGTTGCTACCTGTACCAGCTAAGTGCAGGGTGTGGTTGCTACCTGTACCAGGTGAAAGCGTAGGACAATGTTGCTACTTGCAGCAGGTAAGAAGGGGACTGAATAAATAAATAAGAGAACGAATATGAATATATACAGAAATAATATTTGGCTGTAATTAATCCATCCTTGATACGATCCATACCTGGTGAAACTTGGTTAGTTTAGTTATCTCTCGTAGGTGCCTAGATGGCACATAAGGCAGTGACAAGGTGAAAGTAAGACGTTGTATATAAAGTCGTAGAATAAAATGCAAAAACATCTTTCGAGCATCACCGCCCGCGGTTTCCTAAACTTGTTGCACGCCACATGCGAACAGGTCCTGTCCAGGTGGGAGGAGTACATTAGCAAGGTGAAGGAGAAACCGGGGAAGGAGGTGGCTGCGGCCGCCGTGGGCGATCTGTTTCCCTTCGCCAAGTTCTTTGAGAATGCACCGCAGCCGGTCTTCAAGGGCTGTTCATACACGGAGGACTTTGATATCGCCGAGGGCTGCTTCCGTCACGTCACGAAGATCTTCACGCAACTCGAGGTGCGCAGTGATGTTTAAATTATTTATTATTATTTATTAAATTCTTTTTATTTTTAATTATTTTTTTTAATTTAACTCGAGGTTAATAAACTCAAGGTGCGGGCAGCTGCTCATGGGTACATTACATTAATTAATTTATTAATTTATTAATTATTATTAATTAATGGTAATGGTAGCGTTCATGTAAGGGAGGCCCGGAGAGGGCAACCCTCAATAAGGAAACAATCAGTGAGGGTGTCCCCCTGCTAAGAAAATATTCTGTGAGTGTTTCTCTGATAAGTAAATTGTCATTGAGGCACCCTTACTGAGGAAATGATCCATGAGTGTCCCTCTGCTAAGGAAAATTGTCAGTGAGGGCCCTTTATTAAGAATATGGTAGGTCCCCCCCCCCTTGGCGTGCTAAGATAAGGGGTTAAGTACAGATCACAATCAGATTTTTGTGCTCACAATGCATTTGAGGGCACCTTAGGGCGTATTAGTATATACCAACTTTCGTTCAACCAAAATTCTCCCACCGGGTAACGCTGACATCGCCGCGCCGGCCCCGTTGTCGCGTATGCGGGCCGACAGATCCCGCTACGCTTCACACGTCTAAATAAGAATGCTGTCTATTAGTCAATTGTTTATTTAACAATGACCACGGTTATCTGCAAAGATAGAAATAGCATTCATTCAGATACATGTACATCAATATAATCATGATATAATATCATCAAGAGTCCATAATTGAAAAATAGATTTTCTATTATGGACTTGATATCGTCTCACGTCGTATTGCGTTGCCGTCGCCCCGCAGGAGTTTCGCGCGTTTGAGCTACTACGCAGCGGCCTCGATCGCTCCAAGTATCTGCTCGTTAAGGAGGCGAAGGTGATCGCGATGACGTGCACGCACGCTGCGCTGAAGCGGCGCGACCTGGTGGAGCTCGGCTTCAAGTATGACAACATCCTCATGGAGGAGGCGGCGCAGATCCTTGAGATTGAGACCTTCATCCCGCTGCTGCTGCAGGTAGGAGAATTGGCCATTATTCCGAAATTATTCTCGTATACGTTGTTTAATGGTAACTTAAAGCTAAGCATAAAATCTTAAAGGCATAATAGGCCCATTGATTATGCAATGTTGATGAATGCTAGAGTAACTGGCACCTTGTGTAGTTAATAAGTACATTACCTTATAGCCAAACGCGTATTAGTTTGTCCAATATCACTGCTGGTTACTAAGAAATGTCTGATTGAAATCCGCAGTCCAAGAAATCAGTTGACTGAGTTGTTTACAGTTTCGAAATGCTGCCTGCGAAGCGGGTGTGATACAGATTTATAGTGCACCGGACATTTTCGCACGCATGCTCGGCAGTACGCAATGCTAGCGATAGTACAGTACCGTAACTGTATACGTAATAGTAGCTCTGATTGTAATGAACGTGGAATCCACGTACGAATCACGGACGCTCGTGATAATGAAGTAGGCTGTGTTGGGGCCCAACACTATGGTGGGATCGCGGACTAACCACGGCCACAGACTAAACATGGAAAGCAGATGGCACCACGCGTATTTACGTATATTGGTCAAACGAATACACCTGTGTCCGAAATTGAAGACATGTGGGTACCCGTTCATTAGCACCCACGGTTATTTACTTGCCTCAATACCGAGAATACACCCAGAGATACATTCTACGAGCTCATTAGTCGTTATAAGCATCCCGGGACAAACAATTCTCTGCTCAACACCCATAGCAACATGGGACGTCACCTAACCGTTTCGAGGCTATTTTGCTTGGCAAACAATTTAGCGTTGGCGCCAGATTACCAGATTTACAGATTTCAATTAGACATTTCTTAGTAATTAGCAGTGATATTGGACAAACTAATATGCGTTTGGCTATAAGGTAATGTACTTATTAACTACACAAGGTGCCAGTTATTCTAGCATTCGTTAACATTGCATAATCAATGGACCTATTATGCCTTTAAAGCGTTAAAACTTAAAGCTAAGCGTAAAAACTTAAAGCGTTAAAACTTTAAGCTAAGCGTAAAAACTTTATCCCCATGCTGCTGCAGGTATGAGAAGTGACGCCGCCATCATTTTGAAATTACTGTCGTATACCTTGTTTAATGGTTTGCGATATGCTTCTGAGGCTTGCTTGCTAAGCGAAACTTGAAGCGTAAAAATTAAAGCTAAAGCCTGGCGCACATTGCCGAACATGTTCCCGAACAAATGTTCGTCCGAATAAATGTTTTTGTCTGGCAATGTGCGGGTGAACAATTGCCGAGCGCACATTGCCGAACATTTTGCAGCGAACAACCTCGTGGCGCCGTCTAGTAGCTGTGTTGTAAAGAGTCACGGGATCAGCGTGAATGGCGATGCCCAGTTTGCACAAGAGAATTTTAACAACTACTAATTTTAGACAGGGCATTTCGACCATAATCTCTTTCTTTTCAAAAGTCCACACTTCTGGCAGCGATATAGCAGACGCCATATTGTACACAAAAATCATGTCACCACATATCGTGCTGCTATTGGTTACTACTTTACAAATGTTCCTAGAATTGTTCGACATTCAGTGCACATTGACGAACATTCGACAAACAATGTTCGAGATATCAAACATTTCCGATCTTCAGAAACATTGTTCGGAAAAAATGTTCGGCGACTTTTTTCACCGCACTGCGCACATTGCCGAACATTTCATGGAACATTGCTACGATAATGTTTTTGAGCAAAATGTTCGGCAATGTGCGCCGGGCTTAAGCGTTCATCCCACTGCTGATGCAGGTGCGGTCGGTTCTGAAATTACTGTCGTATACCTTGTTTAATGGTTTGTAATATGCTTCTGAGGCTTGCTTGCTAAGCGAAACTTGAAGCATAAAAACTTAAAGCTAAGCGTAAAAACTTAAAGTTAAGCATTTTTCCCGCTGCTGCTGCAGCTGCGAGGGGCGACGTTGCCCAGCCGCTTTCAGGTTAACATTTATGTGGCTTTTTATCAAAATTAATATTCTTTAGATCATCTACATGTATCGCCTTTTTTATGTGCAGAATCCCGAGGATGGCTTCAGTCGTTTGAAGCGCTGGATCATGATCGGCGATCATCATCAGCTTCCGCCGGTCATCAAGAACATGGCATTCCAGAAGTATTCCAACATGGAGCAGGCGCTGTTCACTCGCTTCGTGCGACTCGGTGTTCCGACCGTCGACCTTGACGCTCAAGGTCGTGCGAAACCAGGGTACGCCATTTTAAGTTCAGAATGTCTTAATTAGAGTTAGTAAACAGTTAATTTCCTTGTTAAAACCTGGTTATTTCTGGTTTAAAACCTGGGTACGCCATTTTAAGTTTCTAATGCCTAAATTAGAGTTAATAAACGGTTAATTTCCTGGTTCAAACCTGGTTATTTCCGGTTTAAAACCTGGTTATGCCATTTTAAGTTCCTAGTGTCTAAATTAGAGTTAGTATAAACGGCTAATTTCCTGGTTAAAACCTGGTTATTTCCGGTTTATAATCTGGGTACGCCATTTCAGTTCTTAATGTCTAAATTAAAGTTAGTAAATGGTTAATTTCCTGGTCAAAACCTAGTTATTTGCGGTTTAAAACCGGGGTACGCCATTTCAAGTTCCTAATGCCTAAATTAGAGTTAGTAAACGGTTAATTTTAATGTCCTAGTAAGAGTATTACACGTATCACACGTATTACTAGATTAAGAGTATACGTCGATGTGTTATATATATGTAATCGTGAACTGTAGTGGAATTACGAATACAATGTAATTTTATATGAGGAATTTTAACTTGTCAATTACTAATGTAGGCATTGGTTATAATTATCAGCAATTGCATATATCCCGGCATGCTTATTAGCGGGTTTAAGCTCTGTGTTTGTGCTCTTTCAGAATTTGCAACTTGTATAACTGGCGTTACAAGAAGCTGGGCAACCTGAGTCACGTTCTCACTTGGCCAGAGTACAAGGTAGCCAATGCAGGATTCTTCTATGATATTCAGCTCATCAACGTAGAAGACTTCCAGGGAGGAGGGGAGTCTGAACCCAACCCATATTTCTACCAGGTATGCAGCTGAGGCATCCCCTAGACATTTGATTGGTTAATTTGTTGATGTTGTTGACCTATGCCTGACCTCACACTAATGCATTTTGTGTGTGTTGAGCTGTAGCGTGATATCTCCTGCTGCATACATTGCCTGTCCTGATCCACACAACTATCTTACTAGGGCTTGTTATAAGTATCTCATACGTGGGATGTGAGTAGATACTGTCCACCCTGTGACCTTGTACATCACTGTGATTTCTATGTCAAACTATCTAAACAGGAAGACACACTAAAAACAGTAAACATTTGTTAAAAGTTAACGATAATGTAAAACTTGGCACACACATGCATAACTGCCCACCTAACATGAGTAACTCTGAGCTCGAAACAGTTGTCCCCGTCAATTACTCACGCTACTCGTGGACGATTTATCCGTCGAATCCGAAAAAAATCCCTCGAAAAACATTTAAAAAAACTTTCCATCGAATCGAGAGCGTGACGCGAAAAATCTGTCGAAAAACTGTCCGTTGAATCGATCGTGCACGCGTGACTGAGACGCGCGCTTGTTTTTTTCACGGCGGCAGAACCTCGGCGAGGCGGAGTACGTCGTCGCGACGTTCATGTACATGCGGCTGCTCGGCTACGCAGCCGACCGCATCTCCATCCTGACAACGTACAACGGCCAGAAGCACCTGATACGCGACGTGCTCACACAGCGCTGCGCCAACAACCCCCTCATCGGCTTCCCAAAGATGGTAGGGAGCATGGTTTCTTACTTATGTTACTTGCTCTTACTTCAAGGCAGCTTCTCTCACCGATTCCATTCAGAAGGTTCCATACCATTCAGAACGATACCATTTCAGTACAATGCCATTCAGAAGGTACCATTCAGTAGGTAGGGTGTCGCGAGCTTACACTTACTTACTCTTACTTACGTAACTGAATGGTCTCATACACATTGTCAAGTTAGTGTGTTAGTTATATATGCTAATGAGTGCCACACACTTCTCCAGGTGACGACCGTGGACAGGTATCAAGGACAGCAGAATGACATCATACTGTTATCCCTCGTGAGGACGAAGGCCGTCGGCCATCTTAGGTAGGTGCATTCATTGTTGCTGTCAAAAACGTGTCCGGGACTGCATGGCATTGCACTGAAACTAGACTGCACAGCTCCTCGCCTGCAAATGTATGTCAGAAGTGGATAACACTGCAATACTGAGTAATAAATATAGTATCAATACAAATACATATTATTATATGTAATATTATCCACTTCAAATGTATTTGCATATTTAATAACTAAAGATGTGGCACAATTTCTTTACCATATTGTTTCATAATATCATTTTAGTATGCATAGTCTTTTTAATTTTCTTGATAGCACTTTACACTGGTATGTCGAGAACGGAGGTGTTTCAGGAAGTCGCAGTATTTTCAAAGATGTAAACTGTAACTCCCATTCCTATGATAATGTTGACAGGGATGTGCGGAGGTTGGTAGTGGCCATGTCACGTGCCCGGCTCGGCCTCTACATATTCGCCCGAGTCTCGCTCTTCCAGAACTGCTTTGAACTCACCCCTGCATTCAGTCAGGTATGTGCCATAGCATATTCGCTCATTATTTAGCTCATTTCGTTCGTATACAAGTGGAACTCGTCATAATCGCAGTTGTTGTATTAATAGATTTAAATTGCTAGATATACTGAAATTTTAAATGCGATTCCAAGATATTCAAGTCAATAATATTGTTAGTAGTAATGATAATCATCGAACACCTCATGCAGTCTTGTGGTGCACGCATGGCACATATTAAACATACCATTGTGAATGTAACTATATTCAGATTGCACAGGGAATAATCAGAATGAGCCTATAAACTAAACGTGCAAGCTATGTTCATGAATGGTGCTTCTGTCTAATATTAGGCGCATACATTGAGTATATTACTGGATATTTTTTCATTTTCAGTTGACGAAGGTGCCAACAAAACTCCATCTGGCACCATATGAGCAGTTTCCCACCACTCGAAAGGTATCTTTTTGTAAAAAAGAAAAAGAGACTTCAATGCCAACTGATATTGTCCCTAACCTATGCAATGGTTCGACAGATGCACAATTGCAAATGCCACTAAATCACATTCTTGGTGGTAACGTTTAGCTGTCTTTTTTCTTTCATACACTTTCGAAAATTGCTTTTTATAAATTTGTTCAGAGTAAATTACACATGTAATAAATGTACAATGGATAGTTACAATATACCTTATCTTGTTCCAGTGCTGGTTGGTTGTGTGTGAATTCGTATGTTTAGGTTAGAACAACCGGCAGTATATATATACCTTTCATTCCACAGCAAATTTAGGACTGAGCAAATCAAGTTCGCTATTATTTTATGCAACTATCTAGTAAATGATTAACTGTGTGTGGCAGGTTGGAGAGAGACCCCGCAGAGAACCGCTGGTGGTAAAGGACATGCCCCACATGGCTTCCTTTGTCTACGACTTCTACAACAACAAGCTGCACGCCATGCAGGCGTACCTACAGGTAGTAACCACGGCAACGGCCAACTAATCAAACGACCGCGCGTTCGTCGTCCGGCAATCTTCTTAAGCATTTTAAAATTGCATATTTTTTTCTGGCTTTTTTTGCTAAGAAATTCGAACACGTATATTATCAGGAGCGTATAATATAGATCTATATTATATATCTTATATAGATCTATATAATATAATCTATATTATACACTTCTTAATTATCACTCCTACAGTTCATTGCTAACTTTGTGTAGCATTTACTCAACACAACTTTTATGTAAAATGGCATCATCCAACCAGCAAATCAAATCCACGTGGGGTAATACAGTAGAGCTGTGCCCCGTAGAGGCTGTCTAGGCCTCTTCTTCACGCATATATTATACACTCCTGATATTATATCATCCGATCGCCTCGCCCTGAACAAAATGCCAGTGGAACTGGCCGTATTTTGCTGCGTCTGCGCGAATGGGCTACGGGCACCGGTCAACTCGACCGGTCGACAAACTCGCCCCGTGTGGTTCCAATGCTAACCACAATGCTGGCTGAGTTGGTGCGTGGGTCGAGTTGACTGTAGCTCTGCGCGAATCACACATGCTCGTTTCCGCTGCTGTGTAGAAGTCGGCGCCCGAGCCATACGAGAGCAAGGCGGAGGCCGTCGGGAGCGAGCCTCCACACCAGCACACCGTGCACAGGCTGTCAGAGCACCCGGCGGAAAGCGACAGCGATGACGACGACGGCGGAGCGGGAGACCAGCAGGGGTGAGCGCGTCACGCGTGACGGGAACCGCGAACTCATCCGGTGACATTTGGTGACATTCGGTGGCATCCGGTGACATTCGGTGTCATTCAGTGACATTCGGTGTCATTCAGTGACATCCGGTGACATTCAGTGACATCCGGAGACATTCAGTGAGATTCGGTGTCACCCAGGGTCAATTCCAGGGACCGTTTACTACTCGATTAATGTGTCAGCATTAAAACGGAACCGAAATTTTTGGAATCGAGTTCCGAGAAATCCCTTTTGAAAAATCACCAAATGCAGCGTTACTAGCAACGAAGATATTCGCAATTTTCTACATTCTACGATGATTAAACGACTGTGTTTAGAATTGACTAAGGTACATGCAATTGCTACTGTTAATATTCACTGCGACCTATCTGTGGCCAATTACCACCAACAAACTTTGAAAAAAGTCGTGTTGCTATAAATAACTTGACAAAACAAGTGATCTGTTTCAATCTCCTGTTCGCCGCCCACTAATTAATGCACGCAGTAACGTTATCATCTCTATATAAACAAACGCGCGCGGCAACAGGGTGTTCAAAACAGCTGTAACAGCGTTTCTGATTCGCATGTTGAGATGGCACACACGATGCTGGGATAGCGCGCGCGCTCATGACGTCACTATTTAAAGGGCGTCCCGGGTTTTGCAATAGCCAGGTTAGCATATGCGGGGATTTTGAGTGCTTGGAGACCACACACATAATCTACTATTACATAGCTGCCCAGGGGTGACATCTGTCAAATAAAATGGGTATTGAAATTTTGACCAAATTTCATCTACAACCCTGAATTTATCTGTAAGTTCTCATTTTTCTCTCCAACAGGTTAACAATTAAACAGGATATAATGTCGCCAATAGCACCAAGCCAAGCCGTCCCCAAAACAGACGCAAAAACAACAGTAGAAAAGGAAGCCACTGTGTCAACAGACGCGAAGTCGCCGACGGCAACAGTGAAAGTCGTCCTGCCGGCAGACACAACTTCACACACGGCAACAGAGGAGGTGAACGCATCAGGAAAGACAGAGGCTGTCCTAGAAGCAGCCATGCCTTCATCGGTGGCAACAGAAGTAGTCGTCCCAGGACCAGACACTACGTCACAGATGGAAACGAAAGAAGCACCGACAGAAACGAAGGAAGCCGTCCCAGAAGCGGACACAACGTCACCCATGGAAATAGACTGAAGCAGACACGATCAAGCACAACAGATAAAGTCTCACCCAAAGATGAAGTCAAACTATAGCCATTCCTAAAGGCAGTCTACAGCCAAAGAACTACTTCATAGAAAAATGAGTAGAGGGACATTGTTTAGTTGACACACTATATTTATGTATGTGTTGCCCAGGCTACGATTATGAAAGATGGTCACACTGTTCACATTTGATAGCCACACACGGTTTAACTACTTTTATGCATTCATATGTATGTTTTCCATGCCCCAAAATAAGGTAATATAGTACAGTAATCATGCCATACACTGCATTCACAGAATGCTATTGAAAAAAGTCTGTGTTTATGTACAGCCTAGCATTATAAAATAAATGTGATTCATACTGTATATTATATATTTTTCCGTTTATTTATGCAAACGTTTGGAATGCCGACAATAAATGTGGTTAAAAAATATACAATAATAACTCTTGGCAACGTGATTCAAGTGGTACTAATTTCTTAACTGAAGCATTCACACAGCCCTGAAATGATACATTCAACTAAAGCAAGCATATCTTGCAGTTGCACCCATCACGGTTTTAGAAGTACTCGTGAGTTCTCCTTCCCATGATATTTAATTGTGCTGTGTTTTACAGCAATACGTGTACGAAAACTGAAAAAATGCTTATGAACATAAACACTGAAAGAATATCTCTCTGGTAACACGTTTACGTAACGTTTTGAAAGTATACTAATACACAGCAACGACTATTGCTGTCTCACTTTTTGCACAGCCAGCATTTCAGAAATTACAACGTGAGTACTTGCTATATGCCTTTGCTGTGCTAAGTATTATTAATATATGTTATAACTACATATACGAGTTCAGAATAAATATGATTACGAATATGCATGTGGCCATATAATGTTTTCGAGATCCTGAGCATGTCAACAGAGAGCAATCAACTCGCAACACTAGGCAACAATTTGCCTAACAAATAGCACTAAAAAGAGAGCCACTTTTAAAAAAACTTCAGTAGAAGTTCTCCTCATGGCGCCGTCTGCCTCCTCCTCTACCTCCGCCTCTTCCTCCTCCATCTCTTCCCCCGTCCATTCCGTACGATGACATGCTGGCTCTCTCGTTATCCCGCCGCTCCTTCCACGCGACAAATCGCTCTGCCATCTGGAGCAGTTCAGGAGGCACCTCCTGGTTGGCTTCAACCATGATGTCGATCAATTGCTGCGCTGATCTGCAGAAATAAACGCAAACCTTTGTAGTAAGTACTAGTAACCAAAGTAGTGCGATAACGCGAGATGGCAGTTTTTTATCGATTGAACATCGTGTGCTACTAGATATCTAAATATCTTTCCCCTCCCTCCTGCCTCTCCCCCTCTCCCTTTCTTTTTCTCGTTCCTGCTTTCTCTCTCTCTCTCTCTCTCTCTCTCTCTGTCTCTCTCTCTCTCTCTCTGTCTCTGTC